TTTTATTACTGGAGTTTGTATTATGCATCTCTATTAAACCTAGCTGTTTATAAGACCCTTCCTCCCACAGAATGGACACTGATTCTGTGCAAGATACTCTGCAGTGAATTCTGCCCATTATTGCAGTTGATGCATTAATGTACAAGTGGTGTTCTGGTTACTGTGTGTGTGTGCTTGCATTAACCCCTGTTTGTGGTGTCTGCAGCCCATCCTGGAGTCAGGCGTGATCGAGCTGCTGTGCAGCCTCACACAGAGTGACAGCCCTGCGCTGAGGGTCAATGGCATCTGGGCGCTGATGGTGAGGTCATGCTCTCTGAACCCCCTGGTTATTTCTTATTTGGACTGGTGGGGGACATGGCATTTCACTTCTGTGATTCAGCTGCAAGCTAAGGGGGCTGTTTTCAGTTTGCAGAGCCTCCAATCCACTCCATTATGCGATTTAGGTGCCATCTGTGATTCTATAATTGCTAATTAAAGGATCGATATAGCTGTAAGGGAGATGGTTATATCAAGGTACACCAATGTAAACGATTGCAGGGGCCGCAGAGCTTAGTTCCTTAAAGTTTATAGATGTATTCAGCTTGTTGATAACAACAGTTTACCCTTTTAGATTGGTCAAGAATTGCATTCCTTTGTGTGGGAGGACCTCTGACATTCTGGGACTTTGTTGATGTGGATGGAGTATATCTGCACGTCTCCCACCTCCTAAAAGTCCCTCCCTCCCGCCTCCTGCAGAACATGGCCTTCCAGGCGGAGCAGAAGGTGAAGGGCGAGATCGTGCGCGCGCTGGGCACGGAGCAGCTCTTCCGCCTGCTGTCCGACCCCGATGCCAACGTGCTGATGAAGACGCTGGGGCTGCTGAGGAACCTGCTGTCCACGCGCCCGGTGGGTACCCCCACTGGGACGCTGGCAGGCGCCCTGACTGGCTCCACAGCAGCAGTGGAAGAGTAGTAGGGGTTGTGGGCTCTGGACTCCATGCCCTGCTGTATAAGTGTTTATTCTCCAGTTAAAGGATTATTATCTCCTTGTCACCTTGATGTAATCGCTGAGCAACACTGCTTTAAACATAACCGACTGGCATGCTCGACTTTTTTTTGATGCATTCACTTAACCCTGACAGACTAGGGATAAAGAGACGCCCACAAGTAAGTGTGTAGCTTTGATGGTGGTTGAGATATAATTTATGAGAAAACTGGTTGTATTTATTATCCCATGCAGTGGGATTGACTTCTTAGTTGATTGAAAGGAAAAAGACGTTCCTGACCTCCGTCTTGCCTCTCTGCAGCACATTGATCAGATCATGAGCTCCCATGGGAAGCAGATCATGCAGGCGGTGACTCTCATCCTGGAGGGTGAGCACAG